ATATGGGGGTTCTTGAGACAACAGACCTAGTGGTAAGAACAGATGCTCCAAAGCCAGAGTGCTTGAATGCAAATCTCCTGTCCACCACCTGCTAGTTGGGTATTTCTGAGCATCACATCACTCCTCGGTGCCTCAGCTTGAGGTAATAGCACCATTTCACAAGGCTCTTGTGAAATGAATTACTAAACCAGGAATTACATGCAATACACTTTTTGGAAGTGGCTGCAGCATTAATAACAATAAACATTAATATCTTACTTTTGATAGCTCTACAAATATGTAATATGTATATACACACACACACACACATACATACACACACACGACTCCTGGAATTTCTTTTTGTTGTTGTTCTTGAATAGATTTTTAAAATCGTTTTATTAGGGGTTCATACAACTCTTACCACAATCCATACATACATCAATTGTGTAAAGCACATTTGTCCATTCATTGCCCTCATCATTCTCAAAACATTTGCTCTCCACCAAAGCCTCATTTTCCCCCTCCCTCATGAACCCTTGATAATTTATAAATTATTATTTTGTCATGCCATGCCCCATCCGACATCTCCCTTCACCCACTTTTCTGTTGTCCGTCCCCTAGGGAGGAGGTCACACGTAGATCCTTGTAATCGGTTCCCCTTTTCAAACCCACCTACCCTCCACCCTCCCACACCACTGGTCCTGAAGGGATCTTCCGCCCTGGATTCCCAACTCCTGGAATTTCTAAGTGTTCATGGTCGCCTACCACCTCACTTGCCCAAGAAAGTGGTTCTATTGAGGGAATTACAACAAATTAATAATAGTTATTGTGTATTACAATAGTATCTTGGAGTTTTGATAGTTATCTCCCCTTACCAGCATCGAAAACACCAGCAATAGGGAGAAATCACATTTGTAGCAAGCTAAAACTAGTTTTGTAATCTTGCTTGAGCTTGTAATTGATTATGTCTTGATAGTAACAATAAAGCTATTGTATAGGACAATAGATAATGCTCTAAGGTTTTAAATATATATATCAGAGGGCTCAAAAAAGTATAAGTGTAAATAGTACAGACTAAAAAAATCTACAGTTTAATAATTTTATAAATGGGAACCTCAGGGTCAAAATGGAAAAGGAATTACTTAGTTCAAATATATCTATAGAGACATGACCAGAATCTGGAATTTTAAAATTTGTGTTCTTCCATTACCTCTCATTTTCTTTGATTAAAACACACACATACAGACACTGCCAAACTGAAAGGATTAATCACTATAGGACACCATTAAGGTTTTTAAAAGGTTTTTGAAAATGTATTCACTTGTCCCTTAAGACAATTTACCCATTCTTTGTCATGATTTCAAGAAACTGCCTCACTCTACCCAACTCCCCTCCCCTCCATGGCTCTTATTAAAGGGGTTACTTATGCAACTATATTTGTCACATATTCTTCTCAGGGAGCACTCATACATTAATTTGAGCCCCTCAGATTCTCTGGCTTGTCGTTTAAGTCACGAAGGGGTGGTCACTAATGCTCAGCAAGCTCACAGTGGAGGCGCAGATGGCATGGCTGCTGAGATCCCCACGCAGAACCAGTCTTCACAGTTCCCATTAGACATTGCTGTATTTTCCTACAACCACCCCACTTCTCCTTTTCTTTTGCTGGTAAGATACAGTTTTCATTGGTTGCAAATAAAACAATTGCTACCAACATGCATGGCTATCTCCACTTCAAATTGCTAAAATGTCAAGTAGCTAAAATCAAACCCATCACCACGAGGCCAATTCTGACCTTACTATCCTACATAGTTTCTGAGACTTTAAATCTGTGGTTAGCAGGCCAACATCTAACCCATACCACCTTAAAAGTCAACATAAACACATCTAGATATAAAAACTTGAGCTATCATTTTGTACTTAAATTCTTTTTTGGGGAAAGATACATGAGCTGAAAGAATGAAGTGATATTTTTACTAGTACTTGGAAGAGTTCTCAAAGAACTTTTGTGATACAATGGGTTACGTGTTGGGCTGCTAACTACAAAGCTTAGGTTTTCTGCTCCTGCAAAGATTTATAGCCTCAGAAATCCGAAGCAGAATTAGTGTCATAGAGTCATGTCGGAAACTTGGTGAGAGTGGAGTTGGTATGGTTAATTCTACTTCCAAAATATTTCTTTTCACCTACAGCATTATTTGGATAGACTACCCTCTAAGAAAACATACAAAGGTGTTTAAGGAAACTTACTAGCTTTTAAGAAAATTCAAACTCCAAGCCTCATTGTAGGAAGACTTCACCATTTCCCAGCCTCCCCTTTTAAAATTCACTTTGCCCTTGTAAAAGACCTCACTAATGACTTTCTGTAGTAGTCACCTAATCTGGTGTCAATTTAAGGATTGTGTGGGGGTGGAGTCTAGGCTGTCAATCTGGAGATAGCCAATGAGACTTAAGAGTGGGCATGGCCTTCTCCTGAGAATTCTGGGAAACCTGGTACTTCCTCCTTGGAGGAGGAAGACACTTCTCTGCTACTTCCTGGGAGACATTGTAGAAGACAAGCCACAAGGATGCAACCAGACCTCGGAAGCCAGAGACCCCTGCCAGTGCTGAGATGCTTGCAACGCCACTGGACCCAAAGGCTTTCTACCCCTTGGCTTGTGACCTTCTTGCCTTTAGCTTCATTGCATGTGTTTCGTGAGTCTGAAGAGGACTTCATAGATTGGTATCTGACATATGGGCTAATATCGGACTTACGGACTTGATCTAGACTGGGCTGTTTTCTCCATGTTCAATTGCTCTTCCTTATACATGTGTCCATGGATTTGTTTCTCGTCTATCCAGACTAACACACCTTCTTCTCCACCAGGGAAGGGCCAGTTTCTTACCACTTAGTCTTCTTTATTCATGTTATGTGCGATTGAGTAGATTCTTAAGTCACCTTGTAGCACTGAATAGAACTACCTCATTGAATTTCTTAGGCTATAATCTTAACAGGAGCAGATCAGTAGGTCTTTACTCCCCCAGTGGTGCTCATTGATTTAAACCACACTTTCAGATAGCAGCAGCAGGATTCACCATTGCACCATGCATATGACACTCCCACCCCCAGGCATATGGTGTCAGTGTATTAATTGCTTTGATAATACAGGATGAGTGGAGCACCTAAATCAGTATTAGGGGGAAGGGAATTAGGGGATACTTCAATGATCTTGACTAAAAAACTAAGGCCTTTAAACTCAAGTAAGTGAGCAGAGGAGGAGATAAGGGGAAGGGCAAAAAAGGAAACTCTTCCCAAAGTGTCTAAAAACATGCAGAAGACAAAAGCTCAATGTGCTTAAGCATTGTTAGATTTTGGTCATACTTGTGGAATACATGGGTGGAGTCCAATCTGGCAATCAGAACACAACCTAATGACTTCTCCTTGGGGGTGTGGCCTATATGAGATGCTGGGGAGAAATGGCCTTCTGCCCCTTCTTCCTGCTTGATTGGATCCTGCTTCTGGCTTCCTGACACTCTAATTTGTTGGTGTCCTACTGACTTTGGACCCCTGAGACCCTAAACCCACCAGTCTGATCTCCCAGCTTCCTGCTTTACTGGCTAGCAACCGTGAAAGGGGTAGTGGTGGTGGAATCACAAGATAGCCCTCCAGCCAGCAACTAATCCATAGATATTTGAGTTGGACTGGGCTGGACTGCCTCCTTGATATAAAATTCTTTCATGAGTCTCACTCATTTTGTTTCAATAGAAAACTCTGCTAAACTTCTTTTAACAATTGAAAATTACATTTAAGAATTCTACTAGGCCTTAAGTGTAGCGTATGAAGTACTTTATGCTCAGGTGATGGCCTCACACTTCCCCCACCATCTAGAAGGGGCCTCAAGCACATGGGAACTTCTCTGAATCTAAGATGGAAAGGCATCAAGGCAGGCAGTTTTCTTTTCAAGTCAACAGCAACCCTCTGGGCTCAGAACTCATATCCATTCCAGACAGCTAACACGTTTCCTTACAGAAAGGTCTTACACACACCCACTGTACTTTTATCATCTTGATAACAGTGTAGCAGCACAGTGCATTATCTTTATAAAGTCACTGTTTCCTTACGCTGACATCATAAGGGCTATTAGCTGAAGATCCATGATCACAGGGAAACTGGACTTCAGAACTTTAGTGTAGGCATTAACTACAGGGTATTAATTATGCAAATTCTTACATCTCTGCAGCCCTTTTGATACAATGAATATAAAGGCTACTTCTACTTTTTATTTTGTTAATTAGAAGTTTAGGAAACTTCTTTGAAGATCAGAAAATCACTGAAAAGAATATAAATTACATTTGTGAAAATATGGCAGATCATTGCTGTACTGATGGTTTTCCTGGGCCAGAATTATTACCAAAGTCACAATATGGCAGTATTCTAGAGATCCTGTAGTTTCTATTTTCAAGCTGGTGGCTTACTAAAATTTCTTTCAGAAAGGATTACAGAATAGTATGAACAGAAAATGAACAATGTTTTGGACAGCAACTATCTCAAATATAGATGCTCATGAGTATGCCTTCTCATTTGGGACAAAAATTGATTCTTGCAGGGTAGAAAAACTCAACTCTGTATTTATAAAGCATATACAAGTAGTATTGACAGATAAACACTGTATATGTTATTAAAATGTCATGAGGAACTGTTAGGTAAAAAGATCTTAAAAGGCACTTCTGTAGGTGACCATGAAATGTTTGAGAAACATGGCTCTAGACATTCTTTCAAGACTTTCATGTCTGAAGTACATAAAATTCACTATTAGGCACAGGAATAGCCAAGTAAACATAATTTTAGTAATAATTAAAAATCCCTAGATGAAATAGATACTGCAATTTATTCTATTTTTAGCCAATATACTTGAGAATGGCTCCAACCTTTTCGGTCTTTGTTACTCCTAGGAAACTAGAAGAAGTCATGAAAATTGTTCCTGCATAACGAAAGCTGAAAAAGAAAAAGTTTACGAATCATTAAACTTACCACACATACAGAGTAAAAACCAAAAGAAGCATAATTTATTTAAATCACTAAAATAGCTTCTAAGTCATTAACAGATCGGTGCGTAAAATTTATTTTTCCTGAAAGATAATTATTGTCACTTTAAAATTATTTTGGTTAGTGAAACATTTAATAAAAACTTTTACTTCTCAATATATTGTTCGTACAAATTAAGCTTTTAAAAAACTCCTGTTTTAGAATCTTCTGTAAGTAAATCAGATGATCTGTTGACAGAAACAATTTAGAGTAAGGGGTCAAAATGTATGAATACTGGTAGTTGTAGTGAAAGACACTGGACCAATCTCTATGTATAGGTGGTGGACTGCTGAGAGGTAAATAATGAAGGCAATGACTAGCTCTATGCTTTAAAAACAATTATGTTCATTTAAGAGCTTATGGATAAAAAAATGAAAGAAAAAATATGTCATCTAGAATCATAAGATTCTAAGAAAGCCAGAGGAGTTGACAGATCAGAAAGCTCAGTTATAGATGCAAAGTTATGATTGAAATATTATACTAGTACAGAAATATATTTTAACATTCTTCATATGTGGGAAAGTTCACTTTCTTTTTGGCTTGAGGCACTCAATGAAATTTATCATGTGCATAATAAACCTTCCTATTGACTCTAGAGCATATTAAAGGACTTACAGTGCAACAGTAGACATGTAAAAAATTAAATCCTTCTTCAACAGCTTAGAAAGCCAGCTAACAAAAGATTTATCAATTCCTGAAATTATATTCTCTTATTTAAAACCTTTAGGACATTTACACACCCTTATGAGTCAGGTGGGTAAATATACTAAACTTCATGGTATATATATATATACATAGATACATGCTTCAAAAATCCTTGGGTAAACCAAGAATTGATTGAAGAGGGTGGTGGTGGAAGACACATAAGAAACAAGTCCCACCATAACTCACGAGAGAACAGAGCCGTTATACTCAAAAGATTTTGACTAATCAAAGTCTCAGTGGCTTACTGTAACATTTCAAAGACCTTTCCCCCCTTACCCCCCACAATTTCTCTTTCCCCTTGCCTCCTCCTGCCCCACCTCCAAATACAAAGAAAAAACCCCACAAACACCTAGATGACCTTTCTTGGTCTTTGTTCCTATACAGTGTGTACTAAGGAACGCAGACCTAAGTGCTGCAAAAAAGAACAAGCTAGGAAAACCCGCAGCTGCATCTAAGAAGTGCCTTACTAGTAACGCAATAAACTTTCTGAAAACCCAAATAAAAATTTGGAAGCATCACAGGAAATCTTAACCCCTCCTGCTGGTCATGCCCTATCAATAATCTAGAGTCTCTGAGGGGAGAATACCCTTAATATAGCTCTCAGTTGAAGTAGAGAAATGATTCTTTGAAGTGACAGATAATTAAGTTGAAAAAATGACCTTTCATGTTTACCCAAGGACCTAACTCTCTTTAAAAAGAAACTAGTTCTTTCAAAAAGAGCTCTGAATCCTGTCTCTGGTTAGAAAGACAAACATTCTCAGAACGAATGACATGATTTTATCTTCTCTCACTTATAAACAAATGCCCCTTTCCAAGGCATTTTCGGGTTGTACAGGCAGGACCAAGTGAGAAATCCGGCTCCAGAGTCCACTCAATTTGTCTGCATTCATATGATTGTAGGAGCTGGACGCGTCAGACGTGATGAACTTGACTCTGAGGAAATCCCGCACTTTTTCTTCAATTTCCTTTAGGCCTAGGCTGGTTTCAAGCGTCTCCTCCTCCAACAAGACGGTCAAGACTAAGGCTACATCTTTGAAGGCTGCATTTTCATGGTCACAATACTTGTAGAAGATCAAAGTAGAGCCGGCTGGCAGTAATTCAAAGTGGTGTACTACAGCTGCATTCTGGCCATTTCTGAACCCATTGCTCAGTTCCTGGTCTACCTCTTCCTTGACAGTATCACTATCCTGAGCAGCTTTGTCTGCTCCATTAATCCGGATAGCACGGACACTACGGAAGGAAGAATAGGCATCAGCAATTTGTTCACTCAGACACTTCAGTGCTTCCTCAGCATCTCGAGCAGCAGTGAGCAGCAAGATGGCCGGCTGAGGCTGAGGCTGGGAGCTGTTAAGGTGCTTTTCCAGGAATGTGAGGCTCCTTTTCCACAGCTTCTCATCTTGACCTTGGTACTTATTTCTAAGTTGTTCCATCTGGTTCTGGAATTGTTTAACAGCAGTGGTTTCTACCTCAGGAAGAGGGGTGAAATAAAAGATCGCAACCACTGAAATCCCCACGAGTAATAGTGGTAGCAACCACTTTATCTGGAAAAAGCTTGCTGTTTTGGGTTGTTCAGACCCTTCTGTTAAGAAAGAAAAAAAGGGCAAGTATCAATACCATTTTATTAGACTCAAGTGTGAGGGAATTTTAAACTATTGTTAGTCTTTTTTTTATCATGTAAAGGAAGATGGAATTTAAAAAAGAGAGCAGTTCACACACGCACAAATTAATTCTAAATAAAACATGTTCACGGCTCTATAATTAGTGGATGACTACGGATAGTTCTTTCAGTAATGCTTGCCTCAGTCTCGTTCAATACAAAGGCACAAAAAAAAGGACAATCCTCCATGAACTGTAATAGCTAGTTGAGCTTTAAGATAACCTATACTGATGACTTTTCGTGGTACATAAGTTAACACTAGTAACCACCTGACAAGTCATGCCTAATTGTTACTGGCAATGGTGTCAGCTTACTTTTATTTTACCTAGTGTTTTTCCACTAATAAAGCACTTTTCCACGATTCAATAATATTATAGGAACAATAGCTTTTGTTTTTGACTTGACTGTTTTGGACTTGGACTGCTTTGGCACTAGAGACCTCTCGGAGCAACCAGTCTTAGAGTGTGGTCTGTGGGCTCCCAAGGGCACCTGAAGACCCATTCAGGGTAGTTTTTCATGTCCTGGGTTAAATTTATTCCTAGGTTATTTTATTCTTTTAGATGTTATTTTAAATGGAATTTTTCCCTTAATTTCCTTTTGAGATAGCCCACTGCTGGCATATGGTAACCCCACTGATTTCTGTCTCTTTATTTTGCAGATTAGTGGGATAAAACAGAGTTCAGAAATGAATCCATACATCTATAGCTGTTTGACAAGGGTACTAAGTCCAACCACTGGGGAGAAAATAAGAATAATCTTATTACTGAATGGTGCTACAACTGATAACCAACCATAATATGCAAAAGAAAGAACTTACAGTCATCCTTCAAAGACTTAGATGCAAAAAATAAACCATAAAACTTTTAAGAGAAAACATAGGAGGAATGCTTCGCGACTGAATTTTTAACAGTGTGTTCTTAAAGTGACATTGAAATCTGAGCAATAAAAGAAAACATAGGTATATTAAATTTCCTCAAAATTAAAAACTCAGTTTCAGAGAACCTTATTAAAGTGAAGAGGGCGTCTACAGAATGGGGGGAAACTTTTGAGAATCATGTATCTGATAAGGGCTCAATATCTACAGTATATAAAGAACTTAGATGATCTAACAAAAAGACAAACAATCCAATAAAAAATTAGACAAGCAACTTGAACATAAATTTCACCAACGAAATAAAAATGGCCCAAATCATAAAAATATGTTCAATGTCAATTTGCATTAAGAAATTCAAATTAAAAGCACAGTTCAATATTACTTCACATTTACTAAGATGGTTATGATAAAAAATAATTAAAAACAGGAAAAAATTAAAACAAAGTATTGACAAGAATGCGGGAAAATTGGAATCCTCATCAACTATTGTAAAGTGGTAGAGTTGCTGTGGAAAACCTTTTAATGGTTCTTCAAAAAGCTAAATAAAAAATGATCATATAACCCAGCAATTCCACTCCTAGGTAGATAGCCCAAAACAATGAAAGTAGGAACACAGATGTTTGAACAACAATGTTCAGTGCAGCAGTGTTCACAATAGCCCTAAAGTGGCACTAGCCTAAGTGTCTATCAACAGATGAATAGATAGGCAATATGTGGGCACACAACATAGTTATTAAAAGCCATAACAGCAACATGCTATAACTTGGGCAAACCTTGCAACCATTAAGCCGACTAAAATAAGTAGATCATAAAAGTTCAAATATATATGAACCCTTTATATAAAATATCTAGATTGCACAACTCTTTTTATGGTACACAAATTATATATCAATAAAACTGTTAAAAGGCAAACAAAGAAAAAAGAAATATCTAGAATAGGCATTTTCCCCCAGTCGTTACCAAAGGCAAGTGGGAGGGAAGGAGGGAGGAGAAGCCACTTCCTAAGGGATCTTGAGCATCTGTTATGACTGACAGAAAAATGTGAAACAGAACATGAGATCCTGTGAGAATTAGAGCAACACCAAGCTAGTGGAGAGGAGGCACTAAGAGGTGGGAGAAGGGAGAAAGTGATGGCGGGGCAGGAGGAGGCAAAGGAAACAGAGGCAAGCTCTAGGAAGCAGAGGCACAGATAGGGAGATTAACAGAGGTGTGTACTTATGCAAATACATTAATCCATAGCAATACTGGTATTGACCTATGTACATATATTTATAAGGCAATACACTGAAGCTGCAGACAGGCCTTGGGTCTCGGCTCATAACTTCCCTAAATACAAGAAGACTCTGTTCTAACAAACAGGCATTCTGTGATGTTCACCCACCCACCCTACACGATCGCTGAAGACAAAATGGGTGCACAAGCAGATGTGGTGAAGACAGAGGATGGTGCCCGGCTATTAAAAGATACAGTGTCTGGGTCTTAAAGGCTTGAAGTTAAATAAGCGGCCACCCAACAGTGAAGCAACAAGCCCACGTGGAAGAAGCACACCAGCCAGTGCGATCGTGAAGTGTCATCAAGACTGAGAAATGGGCGTTAGAATATTCACAACAAATAGTAAACAAACAAAATACACTGGTGAAAATGGAGGGGGGTTGGAGCGGAAATCCAAAGCCCATCTGTGGACAATGGAACATGCCCCCCAGAGGGGTCACAGGGAGGGAGGGAGTCAATCAGGGTGCAGTAGAGCACTAATGGTCACACAATATACCTCTGATCACTGGAGGCCTCTTAACCCCATCCCTCACCCGGCTATCACGACCTCAGTGCTGCCTCCCAATCTAGATGGGGAGCATGTACATAGGTATAGGCAGAGATAAAACTCACAGCACATGGAACCCAGGAACAGGAATGGGAATAGTGATACCAGAAGGGTAGGGGAAGGGGGGAAAGGTGGGGAGGGAGGGGGGCACCGGTGGCAATGAACGGTATATAACCACATCCTGGCAAGCAAGTGGGAAGAACAACAGAAAGCAGAGGGGAAGGGAGACAGTGGTGGGTGTGAGATTTGAAAAGAATTAATCTACAATCTATCAGGGGACCACAAGGGTAGGGGGGAGAGGGGAGAAAAAAAAAGAGGAGCAGGTCCCAAGGGCTCAATGTAAAGTAAATGTCTAGAAAAGAACGATGGAATACATGTACTATTACGTCAGATACAACTGATGTATGGTTTGTAACAAGAGTTGTAAGAGCCCCCAATAAAATGAATTAAAAAGAGACTGAGAAAAATCTGAAACAGAACATGATGAACAGAATTGATAGTATTGAGTGATACATGTAAAAAATGTTGAAATGACAAATGTTTTGCTATATTTGTATTATCACAATTTCAAAAAATAAGACTTTTCAAATGGTGCACAAGAAAATTATTCTTATAAGTCAAGATAGGATTGACTTTTTCACTGTAAACTGAGAGTCACTATATGCTTCATCTTCAGGCATTCATGGCTTAAGGGGGGGGCACGAGATTACACTTAGCAATGTTTTTCATGAAACAGTTAAAAGAAATTATCCATTTTATTAAGTCTCAACCCTTGAGTACAAATCTGCAATGGACTGAACTGTCTTCCAAAAGGATATATATGCTCAAGTCCTAATCCCTGTAGTGGTGAATGTGACCTTGTTTGGAGCCCTGATTGGGCTGTTAACCACAAGGTCCATAGTTTGAAACCAGCAGCTGCTTCTTGGGATAAAGAGGAAGCTTTCTCCTTCTGTAAAAAGTTATAGTCTCAGAAAACCCACAAGAGCAGTTCTTTCTGTCCTATAGGGTGGTTAGGATCAGAATCTGCTCAGGAGCAGTGAGCAGTCAGTGAGTTAGGGTAGTAGGATTTTTCTTTGTACATATTAGTTAATGAATACGGAAGAGTAAGGTGGATTCTAAGACAAATATTTTCTGAGTGGCATTTTATAAAAGTGATCAAAGATGGAAAGACAGACACACACACACACACACACACACACACACAGAGTCAAGGCAACACGTGAGGGTCAGTCTATGAAAGAGACAAGGCAGGCTGGCACCAGCAAAGGAGGGGAGGCAAGGAGGGAGACAGAGAGGAAGACAGGGAGGGTATGGGAGTGCATGTACAGCTCTGACCTCTAGTTACCAGGTTGTGAGAAATAAGTTACTTCTCTTACTCCACTCACTTTGTGGTATTTTGTTACAGCAGTTCTAGGGAGACCAAAACATTATCTTTAATACTCTAAGAGATGGGGAAGTGCATGTAAAGCACTTTTGCTGCTGCATACCACCTTAAATTGGTTGTCTCTGACAAAGAACACTGTGTGGCTGAACTGCTAAACTGCTTTTTCTTCCACAGAGGGCCATTTTTATTTAAAAGAATAAGTGACAAACTACAGCTATTCAGACTTACAAATTTGGCAGATATATTCATGAAAATAAACAAAGTGAACCTATTACTTCTGGGAAAGTAACTGACAATATTTGTTACCAACTACAAAATTCATGCTTTCAAATGAAAACTAGAATATGGGAACATTAATCTGTCACTACAATCTGACACTTCTATTAAGTTTTGGGTTTTTCTATATTAGTGGTAACATTTAGCAAATGTGATCTTTTGATATTTCACTATGAGCTGGCAGATCACCAGATCATGAGGATAATGAAGAGGCCTAGAGAACTGAAGAGAGTTGCCGCCAGGCTCTACAGCAGGTATATGCTTCTGTGTAATTCAAATCAGCCCCAAAACTCTGGAAATTCCACTGGGTGATGTTAAGTGTTGTCTTTCCTGATTCATCAAAGGTCACTAGGTTAAGAGTATGAGTAATTTTATTTATAGTTATTTTTGCTCTATAAAGACAATAAAACGAAGGGGAAAACCAGATGCTATGTCAAATAGTTTGACAGTAAAGAACTAAAACTGCCAGTAAAAAAGAAAACATATTTCTACAATCTTTAAAATGAGGTTTTTCAAATGCCGTAATTTAAAAATTATTTTGTCATAAAAATTTTTAAAACAAATATGAACCACCAATTTTAGAGAATCCACTTAATAGGAACTGAAGACATGCTTACGTTGGCTGGAAGTTGATGGAGATTGGTTTCCAAATGCTGATTTCTGAATGTTGTCATCTAATTATAGGAGTTAAAAAAAAGACTATCAATTTATGTTTCAGGATCAGAGTGCTTAGTTTAACAGAGAAAGAAAATACAAATTCTGTTAAGACAAAACAAAACAAGACATCAGCCAGAAATAAGAAACAGCAGAATGTCCAAGTGCTTGAGAGGGAAGTCTCCTGGAGAACTAAGACCTGTTTTCCACAGAAGCTCACAGCCTGTGGTAGGCAGAGTACACACATACAGTGAAGACATAGATTGTGCAGGGAAGCCCTGAAGCATCGAGCTATTATCATTTAGTGAGTGGCACTGGTGAAACTGCTGGGACAAAGTTAAGATGACAAAGCAAATAGCCACAATCATTATAAAAGGAAAACATATCATACCATCTGAAACACTGCCATACATTGAATGCTTGCCTGGGGAAGATGCTGTAAAGGAGGGGGAAAGGACAACATGTGGATTATAGATTAAAATATTGCCTCTGAAAATCTTCTGACCATCTCAAATAATAATTTAAAAAGTACATATAAAAATTTCTTTCAGCATTTCTGTTAACGGACAAGTACTTCTGTGTTAGGTTTGTAGCTAAAACAGATCTCAAAAATAATTTCCTCACAACCCCATCCACACTCTACTCTCATCATCACCTTAAGTTTGAATTATCCCATCCCTCTTAATGTGGTAGCAGGCTGTAGCTGTGATACCTAAGAGGGAAGACAGAGGGTCAGGGCTCAGACTGAGGGCTGGCTGAGTTGCCTCTCTTCTGACCTACTCTTATTACTGGTTCATTGTCTAATGTTTTGTTACCTTTCTGTATATAAACGGCTTTCCTAGTGTTTATCAACAGCTCTCATTTGAGAAACACTGGGTTAAACTGGAGGAATAAAATTAGCAGGGAAAAGATACAGAAATAGCTTCACTTTGGTCAAATGACCATAAAACAAAATAAAAAAGCCAAATGTCCTCAACTCCAATTCCAAGAGAAATATTTTTCAATGACTAGTTTAGACTCGGGAACATCATTTAAAAGGCTTCTAAGTGAGGTCACCAAAGATAAGACTGAATTACGGAAAAAAGAAAAGTCATTTAGCTGCTTATTTTACTTCACTCCATGGACACAAAGACCAAATGAGATCATATATATGGATATATATAATGTAAAGCTTTCTCAATGACAATGTTATTGATAAAGAATAGCAAAATAATAGTTTTTATATAACATGTATAGTATCTACGATTATTCAAAAAACACATACACACACTCAGCAGTATATATATTGCTGAGGCAGGACATTGACTAGAAGGCAATGTCTAGCCCTCTAGTGCTAATTAATTGCAAATGAGCATTAATAATTATATGGTGCTAGATTTTTAGAATTTATATTCACATACACATAAAATCATCTGAGTCTTAAACTAACCCAGTTATACCAAATCAAACTCACTGCCACCGAGTCAATTCCAACTCACAGCAATCCTACAACAGGATAGACCTCGTGGGTCTCTGAGACTGCGACTCTTTACTGCAGACCTTATGGCGAGCAGCCTAACCGTAACTACTACAGCACCAGGACTCCCTCTTTAGGAGCAAGAAACAGTCTCCTCTCTCGCCATTGTCTTATCACCTGGGAAAAGGAAAAAGCAGACAGCAGTTCTACCTTTCTGAAAAGGTCAGGGCAGTGGTTCTCAACCTTCCTCATGCCGTGACCCTTTCATACAGTTCCTCATGCTGTGGTGAGCCCCAACCATAAAATTATTTTCATTGCTACTTCATAACTCTAATTTTGCAAGTTATGAATCGGGCGACCGCTGTGAGAGTCGTTCGACCCCCAAAGGGACCACAACCCACAGGTTGAGACCCGCGGGGTTAGGGTGACAGCAGAGTAACAGTAATGATCTAAAGTGCCTTCAAGAGGGAGACGTCGGACAGGGCAAGACGTGACAAAATAATGTTATAAATTACCAAGGGCTCATGAGGGAGGAGGGAGTGGCGAGGGAGGGGGAAAAATGAGGAGCTTTTGTCAGGGCTTAAGTGGAGAGCAAATGTTTTGAGAATGATGAGGGTAACGCATGTATAAATGTGCTTTATACAATTGATGTATGCGTGTATTGTGATAAGAATTGTATGCACCCCCAATAAAATGATTAAAAAACACACATACAGCTTGCAAAAGAAACATCCTTCAAAAGGGAAAAGAAAGGGATAAAAAGGAATTTAAATAAATAAATAAAGTGCTTTTACGTTTTAAAACAACCTGGTCCAAAAATGACTTTTTGGCCTCACTTACTTAAGCAAGGAGAAATGTACAGTTAAGACATAGAAGAAATTTGGAATGTTAAGAAAAAGATCTAAAAATGGTTTTACACTGAAAAGAAATCGATGAGAAAGCTGTTTGAGAGAACTCACTGCATTCTTCTACTCACACTGGAAATATTTTCTTTCTGTTCATTGTCCTTTCCTCAAAGTTCTTGAATGTTTAAAAGGCCTAAGAAAGTCTGTTATGTGCACCTTAAAATGCCTGCATATTTCTCATATCTTACTTCTACACAACTCTCAAAGCCCAATATAATATCTACAGCAGATGGTCATTAACCAGTGTACAAATATTTGTCATACTATATACTTACGACAAAGTAGAAACAGAAACAGAAAAAAAATACATTATCAATTTAGCAACTAAACTCTATTTCTGCATCCCACAATCAGATCTCCAATACAATTACATATTCTTCTGCACGGAATTTGTACAGTACCTTATTAGAGGAAACAAAAATCACACATTTTTGAAAACAATGTGTACTACTTCACTTATCTGGAAGCTTTTTACCTGTTATTAATTATCCAGAATGTGTATACAGTTAAGAAGTAAAAAATAACCTACGAGTTTTTCACAGAATACATATGGAAACTTGTGCATTCTTACTTCCAAGAGTGTCTCTCAGGTCCCCAATTAAAGTTAATTTTAATTATTTTATTCTGGCTAGAAACATAATCATAATAAATTAAATTATGAACATTTGATTTTCTTAAGTTTATCAGCTCAGAAGGACCATACTGTACAAAGAAATCTTATAACAGTAAGCACGTAGCACAGTAAGAAATGCCAGTCACCAAAAAGGCCGGGGTGAAAGTACTACTTCAGTTTTATACTGTTGGGGAATTCACTTAAATGTGGGGAAAACTTCTGTGTGTTAACACTGGGAAAAATATGAATTATGAGCTTTATCACTTTACTGGTGGAAAAACAATGCCACCAGGGCTAACTTGTCCAGTTACGGAGCTAGTCATTTCATAAGTATCATAGACTAAATTGTGTCCCCAACAAACATTTGTGTCAAATTAGCCAGGCTGTGATTCTCAGTCTGATGATGTCATATGGCAGTTATAAGATGACACAATCACACTTGTGTTGTGATCTGGCATTATTGGCCAATAGCAGGACTCTAAGGTGTGACACAACACCTTTAATCGGGTCACAGTTCTGGCCTAATGTAAGTGGAACTTTCCTGGGGTGTACCCTGCTTTACTTTACTAGAGCTACAGAGGGAAGCCCTGCTGGTATAATGGTTATACGTTGGTCTGTGATCTGCATGGTCTGCAGTACGAAACCACCAGCAGCTCTACAGGAGAAAGACTGGGCTCTTTTTATTCCCATCAACAATTAGTCTTGGAAATCCATAAGGGGTCACTATGAGTCAGCACTGACTCTGTGGCAGTGAGTCTGGTTTGGTTTTTCAAGATAAAGGGAGAGAGAAGAGCATGGAGGAGGGGGGACTTTTTAATATCACCAAGACAAAACAGGCAGGAACGGAGTGCATCCCCTTGGATCTAGGATCCCTCTACTGAGAGCCTCCTAGACCAAGGGGAAGAGCGATGCCAAGAAACAGAGATCCCTAATGAACTCTAGGCCCAGAGATGTTAAAAGAGAGCTAGGGTCCTGAATGGAGACTTCTAGCTTCCTAACCTGTGAGAAAACACCTTTGTCTGTTAAAGCCATCTGACAGTCGTATTTCTGCTGTAGCAGCATTGCTTAAGACAGTGGTTTTCAACTTTCCACATGCTGTGACCCTTTAATACAGTTCCTCATGTTGTGGTGACCCCCCAACCATAACATTATTTTTGTTGCTACTTCATAACTGTAAATTTGTGCTTATGAATTGTCAAGTAAATATCTGCTATGCAGGATGTATTTTCATTAACAAATTGGACAGAATTAAAACACAGTGATTAATCACAAAAACAATATGTAATTATATATTGTGAAATATTTATTTCTAATGACAAATAAATGAAATTTTGTCATGAAGCCTGGTGTAGCATGGCTAACAGTCTACACGCTGGATACTCATATGTGGGCGTATCTGCATGTGGGCAGACCTGCCTGGAGACGGATAGAGGAGCCGTGTCTCTTTCCTAAGACCATCGGAAATATGTGTTTTCCGATGGTCTTAGGTGACCCCTGGTGAAAGGGTCGTTCAAGCCCCCAAAGGAGTTGCGACCCACAGGTTGAGAACCACTGCCTTAAGACGATGAGCAAGAACTGTTAACACTGGGGATTTTTATCTAAATAGAAGTAAAAGGATACCTGATGTCCTCAACACCTATTGTGGTTAATAGGATAAGGGTCACTTTAGGCAGAGAATGTGCATGGATTTTTAAAGTATAGGTAAGATTACTTTTGGACACATTTTGATAGAAATTATGATAGGCACCAAATTCAAATTATTGTTTCATCACATTATTTTTTAAATTCTGTGACAGTTTATCCTAAACCTCAAAATAAAAACATAATTTGTAGCTTTCAGCCTTCAATTCTTAAAAGAATGGGTATGTAAAGAAGCCACTCCAAATGACTAGAAGCTGCATACATAAACAAAAAAATAATACTGTCAGATTTGAATTTCATTCTATGATGTACTGCTGTTAGAACTGTCAACTTGTCAAACCCAGAGCTGCCATCTGCTGGTTTGCTCATGCACAATTCACCTCCTGACAGCCCATGAAAATAAAATTCACCAACCAGTAGCAATATCTGTTCTAGATACATGAGATCACAATGTAAATGCTTTACCTGAATAGCTAAGTATTTTTACATATTAATAATCAAGAAAAACACAGTATATAAATTTGAAAACTATTTAAAAAATAAGTAGCGATTCATTCACTTACTTTGTATCCTATTCCTTATTCTTGGGGTTTGTTCGACCCATTCTTGCAGGTTTTTTTGATATCCTGAACCTGGAGCAAATAGATTTATTAAAGTATCTTTTCACATACTTTGACAATTTATATCATGTTCTAGTGTTTTAGGTTAAATCTCACAGAAAGGCAGAGTGAAACAGGGTAAGAAAACATAAAAAATAGCCTCAGAAATGAAAGTTAACTTCAAAGGATCAAACTTGGGAGGATGAAATACTTCCCACACCCCAACGGGCAGCACATAAGCATCACCTGCCAGAAAATGCTGTGCAGAAGTTCTCTGGTCTATTGAGAATGAATCCATTAACACTTCATCAGATTTTAGTGTTGCTTAAGAGTAATAATAAAAAAATAACCACTCAAATCAGATGTTGCATTTTAGTCTACTGACTGCTTGGCTACTGACACTCCTTGACTATGTATGCTCAGAGGGAAAGGATCAGAAGCTTACTCTATGTGACGATCCTGCACATGGAGTTCTGGCAGATTTGTTCCCCCTTTGACACATCTAAAAGTACTCATATTAAAAAAAAATTTGAAGAGGAAATGCATGTGGATGAAGCTTCCTGTGAATCCCCTTCTGAACACTGACTAGGGATGTGAATAGCCTTGCTATCACATGGAATACATTACAAAGTGGATTCAGAGAGATGGAACTAAGTTAAAATCTAGCACCCTATCTTTTGATCTCCTCTTTGACTCATTTTAAAGTTGTTCTAGTTTTCAGTATTTTCTTTCCAACCAAGGTTGTCTTTATTTTCTATTGTTAGCTTTTCTTTTCACTTTGTTTTGTATTTTTAAATGTTTATCAGCATATGAAATCCAGGATGGGTGAATCTATAGATAAGAGCTAGTAACTGGATTCAGGGTTCTTTATGGTTAGGTTGGGAGAAATGGGGAGGTATTAACAGAAAAAGAAAATTTCTAAAATTAATTCTGGTAATTATTGTACAACACTTCGAATACGATTAAATTACTGAACTGTATGATATTTAGATTGCAATAAAATGGTTTATAAAAATAGGTATACCTTCACAGAAAATATTTATTCTTCTATTATTGAGTTATAGGCTTTAAATAATTCCTGAAAGATGAATTGGCATACGTATACTAAAAATAATTAATTAATAATTTATTCTTGCAAATAAATGATTTGTGGTAAAATATCCCTGATCTATTTTAACATAGCACAGTATATGTCTGGTGGATAAAAAGGCAAAGAAAGTAAAATGTCCTTATTAGGACCTTACATTGGCAGAATACATAATAATTTGAACTAATGGACTGAAAAAAGAGCAAATCACCAATCACTTACTCTGCACTCCAGGTTGCTTATCATGAGCTGTTGTGAAATCCAAGGCTAAAATAGAAAGAGGGATAAAGCCAAGGAATATTTTGAAATAAAAAACATAAACATTTTGTTACTTACTCATGAGCACCGAAAACCAAAAATTCAGAAGTTTTTACTCCCCCGCACTATCATGACCCCAATTCTACCTTACAAATCCGGCTAGACCAGAGGATGTACTCTGGTACAGATAAGAGCTGGAAACACAGGGAATCCAGGACAGATAAACCCCTCAGGACCAATAATGAGAGTAGCCATACCAGGAGGGAAAGGGAAAGGTGGGGGGAGAAAAGGGGTAGCGATCACAATGATCTACATATAACCCTTCCCAGGGGGCCAGAAAACAGAAAAGTGGGTGAAGGGAGTCATCGGTCAGTGTAAGACATGAAATAATAATAATTTATAAATTATCAAGGTTTCGTGAGGGAGTAAAAAAATGAGGAACTGATACCAAGGGCTCAAGTAGAAAGAAAATGTTTTGAGAATGATGATGGCAACAAATGTACAAATGTGGTTGACACAATGGTGATGAGTTGTACGAACCCCCAATAAAATGATTTAAAAAAAAGGTGTTATCACTCACAAATCCCAAACAGACAATTATAACTTCTCATTTTCAAAACTTCAAAATGTTCAGGAATTGGATAAAAAAAATCAGATTTAGAATCAATATCATTAAAATAGCTGCAATGTATTAAATGTTTATCAGGTGTCACATAAAATTTTACTTCATTCTCATTCCCTCTGGATGTCCTAGATGGATTTATTAGCTGAGTAATGCAAACAGTTTACTGTTGGCACTTGGAATGCTAGAGGTTGGAGTTCTACCCAGAGGCACCTTGGACGATCTACTTCCAAAACCCAGCCATGGAAAACCTGATGGAGCACAGCTCTACTCAACACATGTGGGGTCACCAGGAGTTTGAATTGATGTGATGGCAACTAGACTTTATTACATAAGCATATTAGTAGATTTAGACAGTAGCTACAATGTGAAAGATATGACTTCAAGTTTTAGAGAGGTATTTAAAGACAATTTATAAAAAGATACAATGGAATAATTACAAAAGGATGTTAAAACATTAACAATTACAACAAAGTTGATCTCCAAATGTGTCAAGGAGTTAGTTCTAACAACTTATTTGTAAACTTGGAAGTTTTACAAATAAATACATATATGAAACATATAATGTATAAAAAATAATCTAAACATATTTTTTGAGTAAAAATGAAATGGTAGCTGTAAAATAATTCTAGAAATGTCTAACTTATTCTTCCACATTTGTTTACAGACTTATCAACACAATTCTTTAAAAATGAGGCTTCTAAGTTTGTTAAGAAACAATAAAAAAATGGAATTAAAAATAAACTAAAGCAACAAAACAGAATTAAGGGATAACAGAATTTTCCCACACTTTCTGAAGAGCCCCCCATTACTAAAAAAAGAAAATCTTGACTTTAATTCTAAGCACTTTTTCCAAATGCCTATGAATTAAGGTTGCATGTTATAATCAATGTTGTGTCCTGGTTTAACTAGATGGGAGCTTGTTCTCTTTCAGGGATACATAAAATCATTGGAATCTTAGATTCCTTGGATCTTAACCACCTATTTGTGAATTTACAAAGAACCAACTCATTTTTCATTGGTGAACAGAATTCCATTGTATGGGTGTATCATCGTTTATATAAGTAGGTATATTTAAGAGCTTCTAGAGATCATAGTGGTAACACAGGACAAACAGATATAAATGGATTCAAAGAATAATTCTTCACTAATGTATTTGTCAGTACCTTATTTTACTTTTTCTATATTTCAGTTTAAACAAACCCAGGTGCCTACTAAAAACTAACTAAATATATACAAGGGGACTTTCTTTTAATTTTTCCATAAACGTTTTGAAGCACCTGTGTATTTAAAATGGATTTTTAGGAAAACACTGATTATTAAAAAAAAGAAAAACACTCATTATGAAACAGAATGCTAAATGCCTTTTCTCTATTTTAACAGAGGTGATATGGAAGGAAAAAAATACTTGGAAATTTTATACAAATAAATATATTTTAGGTGATTAATGTAAATTCTGATATTTTATTCAAATACAAAAATGAAACACAACCTCCTATGTCTGTTCCTAATACATATCTCCTGTAGAAAGGCTACAAAATATAAACTTTACAGTAAAATAAAAAAGTCAACAAAGTTTCTACCAAAGTCACCAGTTTCAACTATTGTTGAAATTTAACTATATTATTTACCCATCTGTTTTTTGTTGAACTCAAATTCAGGCCGAGGTACACACGAGTAACCCAAGAAGTGAATTCCAAGAGAAAATATGTGATGAGTTAGTTTAGAATTCACACCAGAGACACAGTGTGGGAATTGCACCTGATCTGATCCCACCACACTGAGGCACAGCACTGGGGGAGTGCAGCGGAAACAGCAAGGGAATGGAGCAGCAAGGTCCCCAGGGAATG